GGCGCACGTGTCCCGGATTGTATGCCAGGCAAACAGGGCCCTAGGCCTGATGATCAGAACCTTTCAGGCCGGGACTAAGAGATCGAAATTAAAAAAACATACGTTACTCGTTACTTACTATGCCAATGTTCGTTCAATTTTGGAATACGGTTGCGTGGTCTGGGCGGGAGCGGCCAAATCCCACACAGAGCGGGTTGATCGTGTGCAGCACAAATTCTTGTTGTGGTTGAATAGCCACACATCCTCGCCATGTTCCTCTCTGTCCTATCCTTCTCTTCTGCATCATTTTGGTATTACATCACTGTCTGTCCGTAGAAACCAACACGACCTGCTCTTCCTGAGGAATATCCTGGCCGGTAAAATCCGTTCTTCTAACCTCCTTGGTAGATTTCCGCTCCATGTGCCGCCGCGATCAACCCGCTCACAGCGGCTCTTCGCCGAGCTTCCCTGGCGCGTACGGACCGTCGGGGATGGTTTTCTGCGCCGACTACCGAGGGCCATGAACGTGTTTTTAACTAGAAGTCCCGCTGATGTTTTTAGCGATAGTTTCTACACTTTTAGAGGACACGTTTTAAACTATGTGAAAGGGCTGGAAGCGGCGTGATCGCATCCGCTGTGCTTTTAGTGTTTCTTGTTTACTAGGCTTTTTAGGCTATTATTTATTTATTTACATCTCCTGTGTTTATAACCCTACGTGTTTTTATCTTCAGTGTGTGTGTGTGTATGTAGGTGTGTGTGTGTTGTGTGTGTGGGTGTGTGCTGTTTTACTGTCTCTTTGACTTCGCCTTTTAAGTGGACTTATTGTCTGTTGGCGATTTTAAATATACAAATACAAATACAAATACAAATACAAGTGTCAGCAAGGCCGTTCCGTCGCTCACTACGTTGTAAAAAACACTTTAACTCCCGACGTTTCGCTGTTTACTGCTTAGTCATGGGAATGCAGAACACATAGCCAACAAAATAAGAAACACATTTTTGAATATTTTGTTACAATGCATATCACACTTTTTGGTCAAGACCACTTTTGTTCAGAACGAATCGAAAATCGCTCGAATGAGTTTCGTTACGTGATGCGTCGTCTCGTTATGCCTTCTTCTTTTATCTTCTGTGCTACCACCTTGTGCAGTTTGAAGAAGCCCGTTGATATGTTGGTAGCGTCTTCTGTTTGGATGTAGGCCGCCTCTAACATCCACCTCTGGGTCTTGCTCAAGTCGCTGTGTAGAACTTCTGCTGCGTTCCAGTTCGGAAGGTGGCCTTGTTCGTCGATGTGTATCACAAGAGCGTTCGTTGTTCGGTGATTTCGTACGTCGTTTCTATGTTCTCTGATTCTTGTTTGAAGTCCCCTACCCGTTTCTCCAAAATAGGCCTTGTCGCACCTGCCACATGGGATTTTGTATACGGCACTGTTCCTGTTTTCTGTCTTTTGATTTGACTTCTTTGTGTGCTGTCCGATCTTCTTTCCTGACGTCGTGACCAGACTTAGATGTGGTGTCATCTGCCTCCGTACTGTGTCCGTGTGTGTGCTGTATGGTACGACTAACACTGTTTTACTACGACGTGTATCTTGTGACTGCTCGCTGTCCATGGCTCTTCTTCTGATCTGTTTCGCCTTTCCTTGTAGAGTGAGCAGCAGTGCTTCTGGAAATTTAAGCTTTTTGAATGCCTCTCTTATATACAGTAGCTCTTGCTCCAAAAACTCTGCCGAGCAAATTCTGTACGCCCTAAGAAAAAAGCCAATGACCACTCCCCGTTTTGTTCGCTCGCTGTGGGCTGAGAGTAGTAATGAATAAAATCGTCCTTATTGGTCGGCTTGCGGTAGACTGAAAAGCGCAGTTCTCGTGCATTTTTAGATATTGATACTCTGCAACTCTTATTTTTGTTGTTGTGTTGATTTTTCAAATGATGGTATTTTTAGAATTGCTCTGCCTATTTGTTTATGGGTCAAACAACATCGGTGCTGGCGAGACTATCTTTTTTATGGCAGGTAAAGACAGTATGTTCAAATTACCCCACGGTGGGGCAATTTGAACACACCGTGACTTGGTGGAAAAGTGATGCTGTGCTATTCAAGGTATGCTCGGCTCGTCCAAAAATGAGGCTTGCATAGTGAAAGCAAGTGACACATGCGCTACTGAAACAGTTTTTCTTCATCCAGGGTTGAGCTGGAATTTGGTACAACGGAGAAGACGTAAAAATATGCTCAAATTACCCCACACTACCCTACTGTAGAAACTTGCATTTTGTACCCTTGACCTGACCTTGACCTGACCTCTGACCTACTTAAGCAAAAAAATGGGTTCTTAAGATCCGCCTTGTTGAGAGCTTTCGATTGCCGTTTTCCCCGTCTTTCTACGACCATCGGTTCGGAAGGTAGACAGGGGGGGCAGAATCTGCCCCCCCCCCCCAGCAGGGCGCGTATGGCTGAATAGCCCAGCGGGGCGCAGGTTAATAAAATGGGTAACATATGCAAGGAATATTGTCTTGGTAGCCTAAGAACACGTTTTGGGCAATCAGTCTCAGTCCATGACTCCATTCTTCGGCAACTACGGTGCAAGGCCGATACTGTAGAAACTTGCAATTTGTACCCTTGACCTGACCTTGACCTTGACCTAAAACTTTAAATTAAGTACATGTCTTTAGTTGTTCGTGATGAGATCTTTCGATTGGCGTTTGAATTTTCCAATTCAGACCATTGGTTCGGCCTTCGGGAGATAGCAGGGGGGGTAAAATTTACCCCCCCCCCCCAGCCCCGCGTGTTCGGCTGGAGACCCCAGACCCGCGCGGGCTAAGACTGGAAATTTTGTGTGAAGGCATTAGCGTCGCCACGGGGGGGCAAGCGGGGCAGCTTGCCCCCCCCCCCAACCTCGGACGGGGCACCCCCTGAGATCGATACAGATCCGATGAGATTTTGGAGTCGGGAAAAAATGGGGGTACCTTTCTGAGAATGCCTGTGAGGTCAGACTCGTTCAAGCCAGAGTCGGAGTCGCAGTCGCCAACATCGTCAAAACACCGACTCCAGACTCGGAAGTGTCAATACTGTGATTCATTTCATGTTCCTCGTTGGTTTTTTATTACATTTTATAGCTGATTTTCATAAGTTTTGAAGTGCTGATACAAAATTTGCGTTCAAAGCGTGTCACTGAATCTTCGGGCCTTTCTCAACTCTCGTCAAATGTCTGCGACAGACTCAAGTACCGTTCAAGTGCCACAGGGCTCATGACTGCTTGCTTTTCACACAGGCTCCGAAGGAGCTCCACTGAGCTCTAAGAAGCCTTCAGAGGGCCCAAACCGGCCTCTGAGAGTCCCACTGGTGTTCATATTCTCTGAGGGCCCATACAGGAATCTTTGAGGACCTTACACATGCGTAGACCTCTGAAGGGCCACACGGATCTTTGAGGATACTTTTAAATATTTCTGAGAACCTTAGGCCTCTGATAGCTCAGCCGAGCTTTTGAGGCGACAGATTTTGCTGAGCCTAAGCCTGCAGTTTAGGGGTCACGACTCGGGTGTGCCTCTGAGGGTCCCAGCACATGTTTCTTATGTCCCTATGTAGGGTCCTTAGGGATTCGACACAGACCTCCAGGGTTCACACTGCTATTTGATATCACACTGCTTCACTGCACACTGCCTGCTCACCCTGGGCCTGGTCTCTTAGCGCCCGCCGCCGGCGCCGCCCACACTGGCTTCTGAGGGTCCCACCTTGGGCTCGGAAAGCCCTAAAGCACCACATATGTACACGTAACTATTTGGGGTGACCAGCGCCGATTTTCAGGATCCTAAGCAGGCTTCTGAGAGCCCACACTGACCCTGAGTGGCCTAAAATGGCCTGGAAGTCCCAAGCCTATCGCTAAAGGATCCCTTGCCGCTATGCCGTGCGAAATTTTGGTTCCGTTAAACGTCTTTTCTTCGCGTTTGCAGCCCTTCCCTACACACGAAAAACGAGAAACTTTTTGTTCACACTACACCTCCTCTCACTGGAGCAAAGATGAATTACTTCCGATTCACACTTCCGACATTCACTCTCCGCTGAAAGCCCTACTTAGCTTCAATCGGCGGCTGGGATAAGCCCTATGCATTTTACGTAGAACCTCTGCATGCATGCGTGAATGAAAGTTTCGGCAAGGTGATTCGCTTAAGCTGAGCGTTTAACCTTTTTATGATCATGAGCGACGAGCGTCTGCACAGGGGCTCTCCAGAGTGCGTCGGCAAGCGCAGCCATTGTGATTCTACCGGTCGTTTTTTGTTCAAAAATTTAAAAAAATTAAATTTTCTGTAAAAAAATGGCAAGTCATAGCTACAAGGAAAACCTTGTCACCATCGTATTCCTCGCACCATTGCGCGTTGAATGATATGTAAAATGAATGAGTAACGACTGGAGGAAGGCAAGATTTAACACAAAAGTTGATTTTGCCCCCCCAACCGAAAATCTCTGGCGACGCCTATGTGTGAAGGTGTCAAATTGATGTCCGGGCTGGTATTGATAATTTGGCGCCGCTGCGCGCCACCGCGTTCCTACTATCCAGGAAAAACCACAGGGGAACATTTGGCCCCCCGCCCCCACCCCAAACGGCCAATGGTACGAGGCAGACCCTAAAGTATTCCGAATGTCTTTTGTGATGTTTTTTGACGTTTTGATTTTGATTTTAGCATAAAATCTAAATTTTCACAAGACCCTTTACTGACTCTTCATAGACAACTCCTTATAAAGGGAACAGTTTGTGTGGAGAATATGGAAGCTCAATATGGAACAAGAAAACTTACATGAGAACGGCGCATTTGATTCGAATGATCAACTCCGAAATTCTGTTCGGTGCAGGAAATTGTTGCGTCCACTAACAGCGTGCCCAAAGTGCGCCCCTGTAAAATAATACGGTACGAATGCGTTGCCATGGTAAGTTGGATGCAGACGCATTCAGCTTTTCACAATTTGAGCACCTTCTTAGACTTTTCCAAGATTCTTACAGACAAGGCCGTATAGTATAATTAGGTTACAGGTTACAGGTTACACGCTACACGATGGCTAACAGATAGACTTTTCAGCGTGTCGCTATTAGCTCGTGGGTGATAGGCCTTGGATAGGCGTTTTTTTACAATTATCTGGAAGTGTAATTTTTAATTGGGCTTGTCCAAGTTGGCGAGATAAGGTAACGTAGAAACCAAAAGCTTACTCATAGGTGTTCATAATACAATACCTATCATATGATTGTGCTTTTATCAAAGTCCGAAGATAGTGTAAACTGAAACTGCTGAGGTGTTTTGCCAGCAAATTTTGTAGTGATGCAACTGCTGTGCAGCTGTATTGTAGCATATATTAAAGGGACACTCCCACCTTAACATTAGTTTTGAGTTGAGATAGCCAAATTGGTGGCCATGGCCTGCAAATACCGGTTTGGGCACTCACAACATCGAAAAATGCTTTAATTCAAAGATATGGAATTTCAAACTTGCAGTTTTCGGATTCTAAGGGGCTAATGCATTGGAATGCCCCCTTAGAATATGTGACGTCAGCGGAGATCTAACGAGTATTAAATCTTAGACTAAATTCATCGTTAACACGTGGTGGTATACGCTGCTTTGCGTGCAACGTCTGCCGCACTTTAAGGCTGCCAAATTATTGCTTCCAAATAAAGTCGCTAGTAACAGGGGAGATCCCAAAAAGTAAACAAAAGTAAAAGCCTAATATCTTGAAAACCAGTGAATATTTTTCGGTGAAATTTGGTAGATATTTGTTTTCGCTCTTTCTGAACCAAGGGACATCACTTTCATGCCAATTCATTAACTTTTTTGAAGGTGGGAGGGTCCCTTTAAAGTCCAGTACCTATAAAAAGTTAGTCCACTGGAAAAAAAGGCCAAAGATGGTAAGCTGTAAGGCAATTAAGTAAGGTTAGGTTGGATTAGGTCTGGTCAGTTTTGGGCATTTTAAGGACCATGCCTGTCCCATAGCTCAGTTGATGGAGCGTTAGATTCCAGGTAGTGAGAGCCCAGGTTTGAGTCGCTCTGGCGCTTGTTATTTGAGGCTCCTGACGGGGAAGGCCTGCGGTTGGTGGGAGCAGCCGCAGCCAGTTGAAGCCAGTTGAGTGGGACAGGGCATGTCCGGTTTTGAAAGGCACATTCAACTTCAGCACCCAAATTCTCCTGTTACCCAGAATTGCGCAATCAGATGGTAGGGTTCAGGCCAGGGTCTATGCAACAAGCTCTGCTTAGCATAGGTTCCAGCTCTGCCAATCAGTCCATTCAAACATTCAATCTAATAAAATGAAAATGTTCCTTATGCCAGATTTCATTGTGCAAGTTTTGTGCTTTTCCATTGATGTTGCAACCAGTTTGTGGGCTTTCAAAATTAGGCTGATTTCATCCCAGCTTTCTTTTTCTTTATGTTCTAGAAATCTTAAAATTAGATATTAATGATTCAAAAGGGATGCCGGTGAAAACAGGGCGCCGGAGGCCCAGAGGGCATGTTTGGTCACGTGTGACGTGACTACTGAGAAGTTCTCCTGCTCTCGAAGCCTTCTACACAGTGATTGTCATGTGGTTTGTGCGAGTAATTTTCAAGAGCCTTGATGAAATCGCCCCAGGCGCCCTGTTTTCACCGTCGTCTTTCAAAAGTGATGTTTTGCTAATAAAAAGGGCAAATTAAACCATTACAATAGCTGTGCTGATTGCAGGAAAGTCACATTTTTTGGACAAAAAAAAAAAACTGCAGTAGGTGTTTGAATATAAATTAGATTGCATCTCCATTGGATAGACAGTCAATTTGATGTCACTCTTAAAAGTTTACACTTAACCCACTGGTGGATCCAGATCTAGTCTAGACTCTCAAGGCTGCAAAGCTTGGCATCTTGAATGTTGATGAGATTTCTTATGTGTAGGAACTGAAGGGACACCTGACCAGTGAATGGTGATATGGATTTACTGTGATGTGGTGCAGCTTTTGTGTGGAGTGCTGCAGCAGAACCCAACTTAGAATTTGGGACTGCAAACTGGCTGCTGCAGGACTGTCCAGGGAAATTATGCACATGAGATACCTGCAACAAATTGGCCAGGGAATGATTGCCCTTTAATTGTAGTTTTCTTCATCACAAATAAGGATTTCTCACTTGAATGGTAAAATGTATTGGCTTTCATCATTTGCACCCATGCTGGTGCACATTTCGAGCCTGGTGGGCATGGGCTGGTGCAGTCTGGCAGTCTATGCTGTCATTCTTTGCAGTCTGACCCAGACTTGCTATCAGAGTTTCAGAGTCAAGAGCTAGGACACCCATAGTTTGGGCAACGAGCCAGTATAAGGAGTCAGCTTCAGAATGAGTAAAGCTGTTAGCTGACTTAACTTTGTCTTCTTAACATTTGTTAGATTCTTGGACATCATTGCCAAATGCCAAATAGTCAAGGACGATGATACAGACACAGTTTTGGCGAACAGTCGACACTCGGCAGTCCTTTTGTGTGCGTTGTAATTTGCATGATTGTGTAGACTGTAGACTGTAGTGTGTAGTGCATACTATTCCCACTGGCAACAGGAGTTAATATTATGTCAACGACAGTGCATTCGCCCAGGTTCCGCAGTCGGAGTCGGAACAACGCCACCGCGAGTCCCAACCCCTGTGTGTATGCTGGGACCAAGGAAGGTGTGTTTTGTTGTTGACAAGTTTTGACGCAATTAAGGCCGTGCGTTTAGAGTTCTCCGAAATGACTGAACTTTGCCAACTACCACAATGCTCATTATGCCACCGACTTGTTGCGACCACATTGGTGATTTCAGTTGTGCGTAAACGGCTTATTATTGGAATGAAACGGAACCCTCTCAAACTCCTAATGAGCATAATTGTGAGGAAAGCTAGGCCCGTTTGGGAAAATGTTATGGATTTGACGAGCGCCTGATGCTTTGGCCGTTTTGTGCCCTATGTATCCGCGTGTCGGGCCCTCTCAGCGCGGTAGGTAATGGACGTCCGGCGCGGCGCGGCCGGCCGGAGAAGGTCGGGGGTCGGCTGCGTCCGGCGCCGTGTTCCGGGACGCTTCATTCTGCAGCGTGTAGCGCGGCCCGGCGCCGCGGAACCAGGAAGAACCGACCCGGAAATGGAGCGTCGCTGACACGCGGCCGTCATCCGGCCGAGCGGCACGAACACAGCGCCAGCTAGAAGAGGAAGAATTTAATTCAGTAGCATTTGCCTTGTTATTACCCGCGATAAACTAAGAAGAGAAAAAGATATGTTGGAGAAATGATAGGCTTTAGGCATATGCACTTGTTGCCTGTTGGTCGTGGGAAGCTTCAGTGACATTGATTCCGACCAATGCTCAATGCTCATTTGCGATTGAACTTCGGGCCGCAAACTGCACTGATCATGCTAATACATTCCGAGAATTCCCTGAGGTCCCGGGCCCACGCCATTTGTATAGTATCAATATCGTGCGTTATTACCGACAGAGCCATAGAAGTGGCTTTGCTCTGCACCATATGTTCCAAATGACGAGTAGAACATGTTTTATAGCATACCGCCAGTCAATATAATATTCCTTCCGTTTCTAGAAGCATTGTTCTCTAATATGTCTGACATTTTGTTTCCAGGGCTAATCCTGAGAAGACATCATAACTGCGGCAATATGACAACCAAAATGCACTTGCTATTGCGGTCTGCTTCGTTTCTTCAGCAAAATCTACGTCAGCCAGGAAGTCCGAAATGTCTCCTCCGAGCCACACAGGTAAATCAAATTTTCACCTTATGAGATGTGGGATTGCCATAAATGCAATTTTAACATGACAAAAATATGCCTGATAGGTCACAAAAAGCTATTTAGTTTATTTTTTGTGTGAAAGATTGAGAATATTTTGTCATGGTCGGATGTTGTGGGAGTGGACCCGCGGCAGTGCCGGACGTTGCGGGAATGCCCCAAATCACCCCCTCCCCTCCCCCTTGGATACACTTGTATGAAAGCTCACCCACACCTGTCGTAAAATGGACCACGTTCTCGTCCCCTCTCAAACTCTGCCGCCGTACTGGCAGCAATGATACAGTCAGCTTTCCGGAAATTTAATCTCACGAGCGAAAACGTTCATTGAGTTCTCGCACTGATTCCCCAGCTGGGACGTAACATTTGAGAGCGGTCTATCTGGGGTGACGGCGCCCTGACTCGACACAGCCCCTCACTTAGCCTCGGCCAGCGTCCCGTCGCCATGGACAGCCACAGCCAGCGACAGCGGCCATCGAAACGACCTGAGCTGTCCTGGGACTGCCCCGACAACTGGACAATGACCTAGTGGCCTGGCGACTGAACACTGAGTGGTCCTCGACCTGACTCTGAAATACCCACCAGCTAACACTGGCCAAACTCCTGTCGCGCCAGCCGCCGTCGAACTAACCGGACCAGCCTCCCTAGAGAGAGGATCCACTTCGCTTCCTGGTACTCTGCTGACAGCGGACACGGCCCCTCTCCTGGCAGTGTGTCCCAGCCTGTGCAGCTCCCCCCTCTCCGCCCCCCCCATATCTGTCATCCCCAGGGCCCAATTAGTTTGAATGCTGCGGCCGGCGGCGGATCCTCAGCCATTAGTCTGCACAAGTACGCTACGCAAGCGCATAACTTTGCGAATCTTAATGAGCGCCGAAAACTTTGCAGTGTTCTCCGCATGCAGGCTCTCAAGATTTGACTAGTTCCAGCGAACGTATCAAACCCACAGCGCAGGCTAGGTTTTATTCGTTCTGTAAATTGTCTGGTGTTCAATGGTTAGTAGCTTTTAATTCACATATGATGTCTCGTTTTTCCGTAAGATAATAAGACAAGTCCAGGCGTTTTGCCACCATTTTATGCCAGCCAATCGTGTCCGCGTCTCCTCAGGTCGTGCCTCCTGTGTACTACGATGGCACCATCTAGTCAAGCTTGCTGCGTGAAAATCAACCACACGATGGTCGCGTTTTATTTGCGGAAAAAATATTTATTCTTCCGTCGACAAGCACTTTTCAAAGTGACGTCTGATTTCCCGCATTTATGTGAATGACAAGAGCAATTTGGGGACCGTTCTTATATTGTTGCTTTTAAGTACATTTAGTTTCGTTTATTCTGAGTTGTTGACGCCATGTCGTAAACTGTTGACAATCGCTTTGATGTTTTTTCTTCAGATGGTTCGTCTTTGTAGTACTCAGGCCGGAAAGGTCCACGACACAGCACCAGGTGAGTACTGAGTAGTCACTAGTCTGTCCACGTGTCTGCCTGCCGCCATTCTGCCCGTGCTCCCTCCTTCCTTCCCTCCCTCCTTCCCTCCTTCCCTCCCTCCCTCCCTCCCTCCCTCACTCACTCACTCACTCACTCACTCACTCACTCACTCACTCACTCTCACCCACTCACTCACTCACTCACTCACTCACTCACTCACTCACTCACTCACTCACTCACTCACTCACTCACTCACTCTCACTCTCTCTCTCTCTCTCTCTCTCTCTCTCTCTCTCTCTCTCTCTCTCTCTCTCTCTCTCTCTCTCTCTCTCTCTCTCTCTCTCTCTCTCTCTCTCTCTCTCTCTCTCTCTCTCTGTCTCTCTGTCTCTCTGTCTCTCTGTCTCTGTCTCTGTCTCTGTCTCTGTCTGTCTCTCTCTGTCTCTCTCTGTCTCTCTGTCTCTCTCTCTCTCTCTCTCTCTCTCTCTCTCTCTCTCTCTCTCTCTCTCTCTCTCTCTCTCTCTCTCTCTCTCTCTCTCTCTCTCTCTCTCTCTCTCTCTCTCTCTCTCTCTCTCTCTCTCTCTCTCTCTCTCTCTCTTTCATATCCTGTAATCGTCTCCTAGTCCTGTCATTGTGCTCCGTTTTCCTCCCTAGACCCTAGACTCACGTCTGAGCCTCCGTAGTGCAATATTTCAACTCAGCGTAGTTGCAGAAGGGCACCTTTAAAGTTACTTGTTTCATATGTGCTGTAAATTGACTTACTCTTCACATTTGCTAGCTGCATTTCCAATTTGGATGGTCCATTCAGAAACCAGCACTGATTGCGAGACGATTGGCCGACGCATGCTTTCATCAATGTTACCAATATAGGATCTATATATTGTATAACGCAATGAAACATAGTCTTTATATATAGCGTTCATCGCTCCTTTTCGGATATTAAAAAGTCAAAGGAGGGTTTTTCTTAGCCCGCGCCCTGCTGGGGTGGGGGGTGTTTGAACACCCCCCTTGTGGTTTTTCGCGAATATCTCAAAAACGGCGGCGCGGAGCGCCGCCGTTTTTGGCACACCTTATCATACATCAATTTCTACACATGTTGTAAAAATTTCAGACCAAGGTCATTCAAGGTCAGGTCACCAGGTCACTTGAAGTGACCTCACCTCATAAAAAGTTTCAATGTCTGTCATAGCTACACCGAGTGACCGATCGCTTTGAAACTTTCAGCGATTGCTAAGAGCAATAGCATGTACAAAATGTATATCTCAGAATTTTGATATCGATGACCTAAGGTCAGGTCAATTTTGCGACCTCTCCATTATAAGTCAATGGGAGAAAATTGAAATGCGCCTCTTTTGGACGAAAGACATTATAAACACTCCCAAACACCGAATTACAAGTGGTTTAGAGTAGACACACTGAACATGAAAATGGTGTCCATGACCCTTGTTTATGCCCTGAGGTCATCTTAGATCACGAATGGTATCTAACAGTTTTTCGCAAATAACTTTTGATAGAGGCATGCTAGAGCGATTAAAACGCCTTAGATGTGTTCAGTTCGACGATACGGATCGACTGGTATGCAACATGACCCTTTCCGGTCAGGTCATGACCTTGACCTGAGGTCAAATTTTCAAGTTGACCTTTCAAGGTCAAGTTATAGTTCATTCGATGCGTCTTGACGAGAGGAACACGATGCCGGCAAAAGTAAGCTCGTACAAGGCTTGGGTCAAAAGTTATTGCAGAAAAACTGTTTCCGAAAAAATCGGCTATTTTTGCAGTTTTTGCCCCCTGCAGGCAAAACCGTTGACGTTAGGTCAAATCTGAGAAAATTTTCAGAAAGGGCGTTAATAGGGCTATCGAATGCGCTTTTCCGCGGCGCTGTAGCTCTATTGGTTCCCGAGTTATGCGTTGGCTTCTTGGAAATTGTCGACATTCGACCTGGAAATCGGCGAAATTTTGCCTTCAATGGCCTCTGGTGACCTGACCTTTGACCTGACCAAAAAATTGACCGAAGTGATTTCCTCATTATTTTTGACGCTATTTCGAACGCCGCCTTCCGCGTATCGCTACGTGGCCCAGGAGCCGAGTTAGAAGGGGGGGGGGGGTGTTCAGACACCCCCCCCCCCCAGCAGGGCGTGGAAATCCAGGACCCCCAGCCGGGCGCGTGTTAAACTTAATAGTGGGCTGCTACTGTGACAATCTGTGGCGTCGTGACACACTATAACTACATAGTAATCGTTTTACGTTATAGACCCTTGATATGCCTCTGTTCCATATCGCCTGCTGTTGTTTTTTATACAATTACAAACCACTACCTTTCTTCCAGCGTTGCCGGTGGCGGCGGCCGAGTCGGACGCTCCGGCTCTTCTGAGGCCACTGACAGAGACGGTGGCCCCCTCCGCCGCTGCGGTGAGGCAGGTGAGGACACCACAGTCTGGGTCAAAGTGCCATGGGTACCTAGTATGTAGGTAGTGTGCTCGCCGGGCGGAGTGACAGCGGCTCGGCTGTAGGCGCCCTGCCGATCGATACCTGACTGAAGTGTTGCCGGGCAGGTGATGGTAATTAGCGGAGAGTGGAGACACGCGATGACGAAGCTATGATGTGTCGCTCCACGAATATGGAATACTCGTCATTGAGCGAGGCGTTCATCAGAAGCGGTCGGCGCCCTCTCGAACTCCGGGTCATTGCTGTGTGCTGAGTGCAGTGAAAGCCTCCATATGCCATGCAGTGATGGCGACTGGGCTGTTCAAACAGCTAAGCTGTCCTTTCAGTCGGCTCGGCAGATCCGTGAGGGTTGAACGGTTCATTGATGGCACCCAGAGCTGTGCCAGATCATGGCAATTTTTCCACTTGCCCAGCGTTGCGCTAGTACGTAATGTTTTTGGGGCCGACTTTGGTAATGATAAGCCTCATCAAGTTCTCATGTGTGCGTCACTGGCACAGTGTGCGTAGTTTGTCGTAATCGGCGACCTTTAATGCGTAGGTAGGTATTATGTGTAGTATCGACCGTTTGTACAGCTTCCTGGAGCTGTTGAAAGGCGAGTCAAGAGCCAAAAGGCGGTGTGAGCGTATGTGATGCGTAGTTAGAAGCTATCGGTGACGAAGGCTGTCGATAGCTATATTATTTTCTCGTTCGTAACGCACATCTTGCCCTGCTTCTTGTACGTGAAACATGATTGTAAGGGCTGACGCTAACAGGCTACAATTAATTGTTCAACTGAATTGCTATTCCGATAATTTTTAAGTCTATTCGTATTAAACTGCTCTCACAGCTGAAGCGATATTCTGTTGTGGAGCTTCCTTCCGCCAGTGAAGGTGAACAAGTTTCTTATATTTTCATATGCCCTTGGTTGGTGTTTTGACATCTCCCATCCCTCTAGCCATGACCACGCTCCGTTCTTTTTTTTTTCGCGTCTAGTTGTAACTCAGTCTCCGCGTGCACCAGCCCTCCCGCCCGTGCCCTACCCTCACTGTTGTCTTCCTATACCGCCAGGTTTGGGTCGAGAACATGGACTCTGCCGATGAGCGTAAGCTCGGTCTGCTGGAGCTGCACCCGGAGGTGTTTGCCGCCTTCCCCAAGCTGCACCTGATCCACGACAACGTGCGCTGGCAGCGCATGTACCGCCAGGTGGTGAGTGCGGATCGTTGAGCGCGGACAGCGCGCTCGTCTTTGTCACTGACGGTGGGTAGGTGAATTAAAAACCGGTGCGCTCGGTCAGGTGGGAGGGTATTGTCGGGGAGCGGATGACAGTCTCTGATGCCTTGTGTAATGGACTGAGGAGACATGTAATGTTTCCTGTCAGCGGGGCTGGACCTGACGTTAGTCTGCTGGATGTCGGTGTACATTAGGTTGCATTTATGTGGGGTGTTTCTGAATGGAAAGCTCACAAGAACGGTAGTCGGTAAGGGAACGCCGCGCTCATCTTTTTTGATTGACGCGTTTGTTTAGTGTTACGCCTTTCGCCATTTCTATTATTTATACATTAATTCATATTTTCCTATTCATTCACGGCCAGACTTATCATTATTTCACGTCAGCACAACGGAGTGCTCAATTATTTGATACATTGTGATGCCTTTTCGTTATGCATATGAACTTTTCATTGCAAACCCAACAAGTAAGAATCCCGTTGTCAACTGTTGTCTGATGTGCACCGCCGTCCTGCCTGTGGGATTTGTGCCCACCACTCGTGTCCGCTCCTCCGCAGGACTACGCGGCCACGAAGACCCGAGCCGAGGTGCGGGGCGGCGGTCGGAAGCCCCACCCGCAGAAGGGAGGCGGCAGGGCGCGGGCCGGAAGCATCCGGTCACCCCTCTGGAAGGTGAGCAGCGACCGTGGATCGGGGCGAGGGTGGAGGTTTCTCGTGTGAAGGTGGATGGTTGCATGGTGTATGTGTGGAAAGACGCTGCTAAAATGGAGATTTTCTTGCTTAGTTCGTATACCTAGGTTTTAAAAACGTCAGAATGTGGCAATGTTTCGTTGGCAAATAATTCCGTTGTCAACTGTATCTGCCAGGTATCTGACCCGTCCGACACCCTCCCCTCTCTCGGCAGGGTGGCGGCGTGTCCCACGGGCCGCGCGGACCCAAGACACACTTCTACATGCTGTCTCACAGCGCCCGCGTCGGCGGCCTGTGCGCCACACTGAGCGTCAAGCTGGCGCAGAATGATCTGCACGTGGTGCGGGACCTGGAGCTGCCCTCTGCCGACCCGGGCCTCCTGCAGGAGCTGGTCGAGCGACGCTACTGGGGACCCAGCGTGCTCTTCGTTGATGAGTGAGTTCTGTGGTTTTATTGCTGCGTGTAGGAGATGCTCGTGGAGAGGAGGGGAGAGGAGGAAGATTTCGAACTCGTTTGATGCAAAGAGAGTAGAGTGTGATGGATACCTAAAATGATTTATCAGCGCCAGGATATAGAGCTATACACTACCAGCATACGCTCTTATGCTGTTAGACAAGCTATTGCTATTGTGGAAAGTGTAGTAGAGGTAATAAATAATAATGGACCTCATAGATTTACACAAGATATTTTTAATAACATAAGGTGGATGACTGATGGCCGTAGTAATAGAAAACAGACCTTCGGTCACTGATGAATGAAATTAGGAGCTGGGCTTAAACTTCATTTATTTCAAAGAAATAATTGGAGTAGGTGTTAAGAGTAAGGTAATCTTAGGTGTTAAGGTGAGGCTGGTGTATCAATGTCAGGCCTTCTTGGTCTTTCATCTTTAGCAGCACGTTCTAGTCTCCCCTGTAGACGTCCCCGACCTCTGCGAAAATTGGTGCCTGCTTCACTGGCTTAAGTTGTTGTGATAACAAAATGAGTAGACTGGAGTGTGCGGACTTTGTTCCGTCGTTTTTTGTTGCCAGTGTATTCACCGGTTTTATGCCTGTGAAGTTTGAAGGACTCAACTTCCTGAAAGCTAGTGTCGACTGTCGTATCCCGGGTAACGAAGGCCAAGCAGAAAACAGCCTTTGCTGTCGTCAAACTTTGTCGCCATCGATTTTAAGTCAAAGTATTGGGACTTGTATGAGACAGGATTTCAGCCCTGCGGTGGGGGGAGTGGAGGAGGGGGGGGGGGGGGTCGACCGTGTGAGTTGGCAGGTGGCTTCGATAGTCAGCTATAAAATACGCTCATATTTAAATGTGCTTTGTGTCCACACATTTTTAACTCGGCCTGTGCGTACAGAACCGAGTGATGGGCAGTAATGTAACGGCCCATTTGACCTGACTGAGGTTGAGGAGCAGCTGCAAGATTAAACTGATTAATGACTAAGCTTGGCGGTACGGAAATGGACGTTGAAAGCCATACATGTTAATTATTATTTGGATACTAATTGTACCCGCATCTACTATTGTGAGAGACTCAACATCTGCTCACTGTTTACAGATTAGTGTCACGGCTGCTTTATTATGCACTTTCCATGCATTTTTTAACTTTTGGTCTAATTTGACCTGGCTCACCGATTTTTTTTCATTCCTTTCTAAATACACTGGAGGAACAAATGAAGCTTAGGTATTCAACAATGTAAATTTGCTGAAACCCGATTTAGGTCTGTCAAATAGAGGCCTCATTCAGATCTCCTATTATTTTGGCGTACTTGTTTATTTTATATGGGACTTGAAACGTGCATTTTGTTATATTTTGTAGGTTTGAATTTCGATGTAGCGACTAGTTCAGGTCCCCTTTGATCGTTGTGTGCCGGTGAACCGACGGCGTTTCTGTTTTCCAGGAGCACTTCGCAAATGTCATCAGTTTATTTTATTTATTTACCTTTGTCCGGATGCTGATAAGATGAACTGTGACGCGAATCGCTAGAACAAAGCACTCGGCTCCTCAGCGGGCAACGCTCGGGATCTTTACGGCTCCCCCGGGGGTTCTCTGCACTGGAATAGCTGTTTGATCGCGGACCACTTTTTGTAACAGTTTGCCAATTCCTCAGAGCACCTCAGTGCTGCAGTTAGTGATTGCACAGTATCAAGGCCTCTGTTCTTGGTATTGTATCAGAGACAACTATAGTTCGCCGATTAGATTTGAGGCTTTTAAACCTGTTCCTGTGACGTATGAAATAACTTAAGTAGATGGTCTGTTGCCAGGCGAAGGTCGTTGGCGCTGGTAAGTTGTATTAGGTTCCATCAACTAATGAAGGCAACAACCAAGATTCTCCCTTTTTTGCACGGCTATGCTCTTGTTGCTCTTTCGGTAGTGCGCCGATCTATTGTTTGATTTGCCCTTATTTATGGATGCCAACTTGCCTTGAAGGTGTCGACTGCTTATTCGATATTCTATGGTAGATATTATTCGACCGTTTCTTGATTAACGTAGACAAATCTTTTACCTACTCAATGGAGGCTGTTGCATTATTGTTATGCTTTTTTTCGTTCGGTTTTCGAAATAATGCAAAGGTTGGGCACGCCACCAAACCCAATGATCATCATCATCATCGAAATAATGCAACCAGACAGACTAATTACGAAAAACTTTGCATTTGCTTGCATATGCTTTATGCATTTATTCGATCAAGCAGAAGCCTGTCGCCGTATTGACGACCTCCGGGCTGGCTTTGGGTGACCTCCTAGTCGTATTATGGGTGGACGAGTACGTCGGTTTGTCGCTGGCAGCTGTCCCGGTTCCTGCTGTTCCGTTGGGACAGGTCCTCTTCGATCGGATAAGTTTGGTCGGGGACAGGCAGTGCTGGCAGGAGCCGCGGTGGAACTTCCGTTGCCCGTATCGCGTTGTGACAAGGTTTCAGCTGCAAACGTGACGCTCACCACAGCACTCGCTTCTGAGGAGTGAGGAGTCAGGGTCGTGGTGGCACGCATGGGACTGAACTGGCAGATGGGGCACCAGAACAAGTAGCACTGGGACAAACTAGTACTAGCAAGTGCCTCGCGTGGCTCTTGACCATTCGGGCTGACGAAAGTTTGGTCGTAGGCCGCCCCGAGCGTTGGCTGTTGCCCGGCCCCTGTTTCAGCGTATTGACGCTACCTGACACTACCGCCATTGGCGCTCGGTTTTCACAGAAATGTAAGCAGAATTGGCCATTTTTGCTTACGTTTCCATAGAGACTGAGTGCCAATACCGGTAGCGTCATGCACTGGAACTGAGCCCTGGGGTCCCGGCGCTTGGACGACTACTTTGAAAGTTGTGAGTAGATTTTGATTCCGCTGATGCTTCCGTTGATTTCAGATTCCGTTTGTAGGCTCATCCTTCTTTGGAGTTTTAAATCCATACAAGACCAGCCCGGTGTTAAATCCCAATGCGCAATCTTCGTGGCAACACCGTGCTGCATTCCCACTTTAATGAGTGGTATGCCGGCTGACATCCCATTGTTATCTCCGAGGTCCTGACCGAACGTCAGACTGGTTGCGAGGCGACTGTACAGTGTACACTGTACAGTATGGTATTCACAATGTCAATGTGCAATGTGCATTGATTTCTCGATTTTTGGTACGCTTATCCGGACCGATGTTATAGGTCTGCCCTTAACGCAGCGGATACCTAAGTAGTGTTTTTGTAGCGGTAGGCAGATGATGGCTGGTTATTTTGTCATTGAGCGGTCACCAGCCATACCAGCACAGCTGTACATAGAAATCAGTGGACGCTTACCGTATGTAGTGTGGCACACACCTTGGCTAAAGTGGCCTTTTCTAATGGTTGTTTTCAACAGCTTATTTTCAGTAGCGGCAGAACACCTTCAATTAAGGGGGGGGGGGGGGCACTGCCGACTTTTGGTCCCATTCTTTCCATGCAACGCCCATAGAGCTAATGTTAAAGGGACAGTATCACCATTTTGATGAAATTTGACATTGCTTAGGCCCCACCTTTCTGGTTCGGGAACTGAAGACCGATCCTCGAAGCTCCACACCGTTATCCCGCTATCGCCGCTCAAAGTACGAAAGGTGTACCACACTTTGAATCGTGCTTCACTATCTTCACTGTTTAAATTAATGTTTGCGCCGTTTTGAATTGACCGCCAGTAATAAAACTTTTACCCTGGTCATTTCATCAAATTTTATAAAGCCAAAACGTTTTTCGCACTTATTCATCACCGTTAAATTCATTAAATAGTCGTAGGCAATTTCCGCTGTTTCCTTCGGATTCTAGCGGCTCAACAAAGGAATTCCTCCAGCTTGAATCACAATCTCCCTCCAATGTATGACGTTTATCACGTGATTGTCACGTGATATTTTCTCCCATTGTCAATTGTCACGTCCAATTGTCACTCCCTCCAATTGTCACGTTATATTTTTATAGGCAATACCTAAGGCTACCTCTCCCTAAGGACAACTCAATCAGAAGAACGACCGCGTAAGCGTAGCGTCAATAATGTATTATCTGCGCCAGTTCTGTAGTAATTTTGCATGCTTCCAAACTGGCGGCCATGCTTGTATAGTGGTGGTTCGCTCATGAAAATGAATCATGAAAATGAAATGTGGTTGCAATATTTTTCACCGAGTTCGTTCCTCAAACTATGTTTTTCTGATTCAGAAAAATAAGAAATGCTAGTAAAAAAAAATCAGCTCCATACATGGATTTTTTTTCGATGATACTGTCCCTTTAAAATGCCAAAATCAAAGGGGGCACGGTGCCCCGGTGCCCTCCCCGTTCCGCCGCCTATGCTTATTTTTATATTAGTTTTACTTGTGACATTTTTTTGTTGAGTTGGCAGCTAATGATACTTTTTAACTACGCTTTATGATATTAGGGCATGGAACTTTGAAGTGACAGAGCCAACTTCAGACAAACAAGATTCACGCGTATTTGATCTCGGTCGTAGGGAATTACTGCCGTCTACCGTATTTTATTTTCTTAATAAGAACGCTCTTTCTACAGAATCCTACATGTAATGTGGTCAGCGGCTTCTTGGTGTGAAAGCTTTGTTGCCTTGATAATTGTTCACGGGTATAGTATGCGACACTAATTGAAAACTCGTTCTCTACCCTTTTATTATTATATAACAATTCTATTTGTTTTTTTTTCTATCTCGTGACTGGTAGGTTTCCAGTATCGATGTGTTTGTTAGCATACGTACATATTTGGCGTATTTTGCTGTGTGAATGCATAATAAATGTTTCAATGATTGCTTCTTATGGACTTTTTGCCGACGTTCGCTACTTTTTGTTGACTGTTTATTGCTTACCGTGACCGTCCGTGACTATTCGCGATTCTGTGAGTTATCATCACGCCCTTCCTTCTTCTGTCAACGACTTGCTGTGGCCCGAATCACACTGACCTGAGATATAGAAGACGCTGACGCTAATATCTTGTTTCGTGATTTCGTTTCACCGTCTGTGGCTATCCTGTCACTTCCTGGCGTTCCATGACGATGGAACTCGCTGTCACTTACGATAAATGCCCGTAATTGACCGGCGTATGTTATATTTGTGTGTTTCAGCACTGACGAGATGCCCGAAAATCTGGTGAGAGCCGCTGACCAGGTGCCACACTACAACCTCCTACCGGTGTATGGTGAGTAGCCCTTCCTGTGTTTGGTGAGTGTCCCCTTTCTCACCGGTCTATGGCGACTGGTGAGAGCTCTTCAGAACCATCCAGTCTCCCCGCCACAGTCCTAGGAAATGGGCACACGACGGAGCGAATATGGCAGGCAGCATTATACATAGTAGGTACCCAAAAAAGACATTGTCCCTTCGGCTGTGAAAATGATAATTCATCACCCTTTCTATATATATATGAAATAATAATTATCCAGTGATAAAACTCATTCGCTACCCGGCAATCCGTTTATCTTTCACATGTGAAATCGAAATTATTGATTTAAATTCTGAAGACCTTCCAAGCACAGCGCTGCTCAGATGATGCTCATAGATGGAGATTGGAGGGGCTCAGTCGCCTCGGCATTTATAAGAAAATATGAACTTGGAGCTCATTGGCTTCCAATTCTCAAGGATTGGTCGATGCCGAATTTCGTGTTATCTGTAGACAAATGTTCCGCGTTGGCTTCATTGCTTTATGAAGCGTGTCGTGGACGCGTTAGATGATATTATTGTTACCGCCCCCTGTTGTCGGCCAATATTTCGCCCGGTGCATTCTAATGTAAGGTGCATCCGCAATGTGAGGGGCGAGGGCTATTCCAGACTGTCTCGTATCGTTACAAAACTCTTAAGACAAAGGTGTGGGAGTCGACTGCAATCATCGGACTGTCCAGCGCCCACAGTGCGTGGGTCGTGGTCCCACATACGCATACCAAAAAACAAATAATAAATAAGAATAAAATAATATGATAAAATAACTAACTTGCGAAGTTATTGGATTCCGAATCGCGAATCGCGATCACTTCTGCAGTCCGAGCGCCAAAAAGCCTTAATTATAGCCATCTTTATCATGGAATAAGTATGCTTTCGTCAGGTTTATAACGTAAAATGTAATTGTCATTGCAATCAGCATACAAATTGCTATCATTTGGCACGAACACCCAGAAGGTGTAATTAAGATGAAGGCTATTTGCCGGGATGAGAAAGGACTTTGCATGCTTATTCCGCTAGTTTTCTGGATTTAGTTTGGAGAATGGGTTATAAATGTTAATGAGGGGTGCTATGTGGCGTCTACGGGTGGAACAATGATCGATTTAGAACTAGGGATGGAACAATAATCGTCATGGGTCTCGGCAACCAGGTTTGAGCGTTGTCTCAAAGGTGGTGATTTCTTCCTTTTCCCGGTCTGTAAGATATCGATAATCCAGCAATCGCTGAGCTATGTCATGTGAGACGACACCTCTTTTATTGTTGGAAATTATTATTCGACGGCAGTTCGTTGTCCGGAAGTCCGCGGATCATAGGTTGTCTGGTTCTGACGATCGGCTTTCTCAACAGGTCTGAATGTGTTTACGATGCTGAAGCACGATACACTGGTTCTCACGGTTGCTGCTGTGGAAAGAGTACAGGAGCGGCTCCTCCGTGCACTCTCCATCCATAATTCTATGGCTGTCAAACACACGGACGCGTCATTACTTCGGTGAGCCCGCTGGCGCCGCCCGGTGGCGAATGCATAACGTGTGGTTGATAAATCTGCCGCTAGGTGGCAGATGAATAGTTGCTGGTGCGCGGCCTCCCGCAGTGCTTTTGGGTGATTCTGTCCGCGAAAGACGGTTGTGTTGTAACTTCAGCACGGTCTAGCTCGCCTGATAAATGTGGCCTGGATTGCAGACATAGGTCCTAAGAATTTGTTGCATTTTTTTTGTCCCCGAAGTGTGTGAGAAAGACTGTGGAGCGTATGGGGTGCTGACGTGTAAAATGTTGGTATTCGCTCCCCATTTGGCTAAAATACAAAGCTGTGTCTACATTTGAGTTATGTGGTGTTCATTTATTGAAATAGAAAATAATTTTAGAATAGTAATGTTTAATCATACCTGCCATTTTTGGAAAATATTTGTCTGTCCCAAGTCCCAACTCCCAACCTGTCCCAACAGTCTGTCTTCAACACTGAATACTGATCCAATGATGGAGCCTATCCACATCCAGTGCACTGTTCAGTGAGCAGTGACTGGTATCAAGCAAGACTGTAATGAACTTTTAAATGAGACTATGAGGATAGCAAGGTTATTTGCATTACAGCTGTTCTTGTGAACGAAGTCGATAGACGCCATTTCTGCTTACCATCACTGATTGTATTTGTGCTTATGTACACGCGAATTTCATCAATAGTGGCCGCGCAGGTCCTGGTTCGATGTTTTGCTTTGCCGTGTTTCTCATGTAACGAGCCCCACTATGAAAAGGTGGCCGGACCTGTACAACTGTACCTACATACTAGGAACCGGGACGGTCATATCGCTTTGTCGCTGGCGAACCATTCTGTGAGCCTTTATTCATCCCGTTCACTGCTCATTGAGTATTCTGAGAAATCGCCTTTGCAGTTATCCAATTGGTCTGGTCCTGTCGCCTTTTGACCCATTTATTCGGAGGTGTTACATACGAATGTTTTGAAGATTTCAGTGAGTTAGCTCACCATAAAACCTCGTTCGCTGCACAAATGGCTATTCAGCCCGCACTCGCGGATACAGTAGCCAGAAGTCACGGGCTTTGGTCAGCCATTCTTCTAACACAAACGTCAGCGGATCGGAAACTCGTGGCCAAACACGTGAGTGCCGACGTTCCGCGCTAATTTACCGTGTACTATGGCACAGGTTAGTTCCGGATAAGGGCTGTCATCACCTTTCTTGATAGGTCAAACGGTATCACATCGCTTCTATCGTGGGCGATGACGCAAAGCGAGTGGGTTATGCTCTTTCCTCTTGATGAGATACCGAGGTACCGTGGGAACAATAGGTAGGTTAAAAAGCTGGCGGACGGTAGTGTTTCGGTGAAGATGATGCCACTTTTCGCTGCCCCTTTTTAAGCAGGTAAGACTACACCATCGTTTCTTGACCGCTGTTTATTGGGGAGGAGTAAAAATTAAATAATGCTCATATTATCGGCGGTGTTTGTTCTGAGACTGGTCAATTTTACTCACCTGGTGCTCTTAGAAAACAATGATGATTAATGCAAAAATACACTAATAATAAATATAATTTGATGACTTCATGAAGGTAACCAAGGTCATGTATGATTTCTCGTCGACTTTCGAAGTTTGTTATGTTTTGGAGTGTTCTTGCGTTTCTGCATCCGCAACAGGGCCTTGGTTCTCACGGGACTCGGAGTGCGGCCCCAAATGCTGACATTCCATTCTAGTATATATTTCAATGGTGATCCGATTCGAGTGAAACCAGTGCTAGAACTAGAAAGCCCTGACAATTAGTCAGCGTCTTCAGTGTAGGCATTATCGGGCTGCTGACCGTCCATGTATTTTTTTTTTTCAACAAACTGCAGCGATGCCTATTGATGCCAGAGGACATAGCAGCATCCCTCCCGCCACGTGGCCCCGACCGTCGCTCATTCCAATCCATCGCGTGCTGATTTTCCTCACGCTCGCCAAAATAAGAGCCGACCAACGCTACAGCGGGGCGCATCACCAGGTGCCGGCTGAGGAAGGTGCGGCTTATGCCCCCCCCCCCCTCCCATCCCTCCCCGCCCGGCGCCGAGCCGTCTGCGGGTGCGGCTGACCTTCCCCCTCCCCACCCCTCCCCTCCGGGGATAGTGATGGGGCCTGGTGCTGGGTGAGAGACGAGACCGCCAGGCAGGCGCGTAACCACCACTGGGGACACTGGGGACCGGTCCCCAGTAGCTTTTGGGTTACTGGGGACCGTCCCCAGTAAAACCGACGACCTCCTCAATTTGCTTAAATAGCCAAATATTGTCTCTAAATCGACGTGAAGAGTAATATGTAGTCAACGGAAGACAAAGCTGGATGTTTTGTTTAGCCCTCGCCCGGGTGGGCCTTTCAGCCAGCTTCGCTATGGGGGGAGGGGGCTTTTTGGCCACACTGCAGATCATCTCGGAAAGTAAGCAGTTTAGAAAGACGCAGTAAAAAGCAATAGATAGCTCGCTGCGTATGTTTCAGAATTACACTTATTTTTGATTAGGTCATCGCTGAGGTCACTGGAGGTCACCAAAGGTAAAATTTTCACGATCTTTTGTTCCCAATTTTGACAGCTTTTCACAAATCGGCGCATAAGTCGGGAACCAATAGAGCTTCAATGCGGCGGGGAAGCGCATTCGATAGCTCTTTCAAAGGCCTTTCTGATCAATGTCCTCAGATTTGACCTAAGGTCAACGGTTTAGCCTCCAGGTTGGCGTTTTTGCGGAATAGGTTTTTGTATCATAACTTTAAACTTTTGCCTCCAAACTTGTATGACGCTGATTTTACGGCATCGCGTTCGTCTCGTTGAGACGCGTCGAATAAATTATAAGTCTGGAAATATTGAACTCTGGTCATGGTCACGGAAAAGGTCATGTTGCATGTCATTCGATTAGTATTGTTGAGCTGAACACATTCATCGTGTTTTCAGCGCTCTACTAGCATATTTCTACCTAAAGTTATGGTAAAAAACTCATGGAGATGTTTCATGACCTGAGATGACCTCAAGGGCATACAAGGGGTCACAGTTGCAATTAACCGGTTCAGTGTGCCATTTTTACCTGTGTCACGGTGTTTCAATGTGTTTTCGGCCTTAAGAAGATCATTTCAATTTTCTCCCATTGACTTATGGGAGAAAATTGGAAAATTGGAAAATGGAGGGTTCGCAAAATAGTGACCTGACTTTAGGCCACCGATGTGAAAACTTTAGAGATATGCGAATTGTTCACACTGATTTCCTCATGCAAAAGCTCGAGTTTCAAACTTTTGGGATGTTTACTGTAGGAATGACAGACGCATAGTTTTTTAGAGGCATGGTTACTTTACTTGACCTGGTGACCTGACCTCAGGTGACCTGGGGTCAAAATCTTAACACGTGATGCGAAATTGAGGTATAATAAGCTATTCCAAGTTTCGCGGCGGTGCGAGCGGCGGTTTCCCTTAAAGGGACCCTCCCACCTTAACATAAGATTTGAGTTGAGATAGCGAAAATGGGGTCCCTGGCTCACAATTACCGGTTTCGGCACTCACAACATCGAGAAATGCCTTAAATAGGAAATATTGAATTTCAAAATTGCAGCATTTTGATTCAGAGGGGCTAATGCATAGGAATACCCCTCTGAATGTGTGACGTCAGCGCAGATATCTAACGATTTTTAAATGTTTGACTAAAACGTTTTGTAGCACGCGGTGGTATATGCTGCTTTGCGCGCAACAAGTGCCGCACTTTCAGCTGCCAAACTATTGCTTCCAAATAAAGTTGCTAGGAACAGCGTAGATCCCAAAAAGTAAACAGAAGTAAAAGTCTAATATCTTGAAAACCGGTGAATATTTTTCGGTGAAATTTGGTAGATATTCGTTTTCGCTCTTTCTGAACCAAGCGACATCACTTTCATGCCAATTCATAAACTTTTTTGAAGGTGGGAGGGTCCCTTTAAACGCGCAAAAAATGGCAGGTGTGTCCAAAAACGCCCCCCCCCCCTCCCCCCACTCGGGCGAAGGCTGATCCTGAAATATGAAATTTGGTCTTCGCAGCCCTCCATGTGGTCCCCAGTGACTTCGGACTCGTGGTTACGTCCTGCGGTTTAGCGTCAGGTCAGACATTGGTCTTGTCAAGACTGTTTCGGTTGGCAACCAGTATTGGCCAACGACGTTGTGGATTGCTTGCATATGCCCGAAGTTTGAACTTACAGCCTTCTTTTGCTTACTCGGCCAGGCGGCTAGGACATGAGGTATCGACGCTCGGCATTTGAAAAATGATATGTGACACGTAGTCGCATGTCAAACAGGACATTTATTATCATCCGCAACACTGGTAAAGTCGTCACGAAAGCCCCACTTCGCTTTGTGACGGTTGATCAGCACGGCACGTTCGCACTCCTAGCGTTACTGGATTAATAGGCCTGTGGTCCATAGCGTCACTGGGACCGTATGCAGCAGTGCTTCGGACATATTGCAGGGTAGCAGCACACATTTTCACTGCCACATACCATAGGTAGATCTATCTTCAGCGACGGCAAACTGCATACGCCGGGTCCGGCACATACACTTGAACGCACATTTTACAATCGCTTAGCAGATGGCGACAATATGAAAGTGCCACCTGTAAAATACATTGACAGTGAAGATGGTTAAAATAGAGCAAATTGACGAATCCTGCACCTCATTGCTTCTGGTAAACAGCAGAACTGTTGTTTACCAGAAGCAATGAGGTGGGAACTTTCCCACCTTCTTGTTTGAAGTCTTGATAAAAGCGTCATCCAATATGGCGTTTCCGTACCGAGACTACTGCGTCTTGTTGCTAACTATGAACTAACATTATTTACCTTCAGGGCGGATGCTGTTTACATTTCATCCGATCGGGTGTGTCACCTTTTCACGGTATTCTACCACGATTGTCAGATGTCACACTTAAGGTCACATGGCACAGCTGAATAGACTGCCGTCTCGTGCATTTCACGCACGTGGCACTACAAACGGACAGCGCACACCTAACATAGCGCCCAATCGCCGGCAGAGCGATAAGGCGACGCACGCCAGAGTAACACAGAATGGCCACATTTGATCTCAATGCTCTCAATCGCCCAATATCTCTCTCCTATCGCTACTGAATGGGCTCAACCTAGCCACTTCCCCGAAGTCCAGTGGCCATCGCTTCCGCTACCAGCTTCTTTCATTCTCGTCCTTCTGCCATATTTGGCCACAGACAGAGTCGAATCGGGCCATCGAGCGGGCCATCCTTTTGATCAATCCGATCCACACCCCTCGAGCCCACCACATACCTCCAAGACACCTTGCGGGCTACCCAAGCCCGGCACCAGCGTCGGCCCCAGCGCGGTGGTCGCTGCGACTTCGACAGACTCTTCCACACGCTCTCCGTCTGTCTCAGTCTCAGTGGCATCCGCAGCTGGTGGCCACCATCTTGCTGTACTTGCGCAGGTTGACGTTCTGCTTGTCGTCGAAGTAGAGGACGCTGATGCTGTTGAGTTTGGTGGGCGCGCACGACGGCTTGGGGTAGAGGAAGGGCTCCAGCAGGTGCGTCAGCGTCTGCACGATGGCGTGGTTTGTGGCGTTCATCTGGGAGTTGATCGGGAACGAGCAGATGCCCATGCAGAAGAAGGCGGCGTACCTGCGGACAGCATGAGCGTGGTCAGGGTGATGTGAGGTGACTTTAGGTGGGGTGAGTTATAGTGAGTGTATACGAACTGAGGTGATGAGGTCAAGGTGAGTTAACCCGCGCCCCAGTGGCGGTCTCAGCCAACTTCGCCCTAGTGGGGGGGGGGGGGGCATATGTTACCACCCACCTCTAACTCAAAAACTAAGAGGGCTAGAAAGACACGGCAAAAAGCAATCGATAGCTCTCAATGCGTACGTTTGAAAGTATTTCAGTCGTTTTTCATCTTAGAGCAATATTGGGGTCACTGGAGGTCATCAAAGGTCAAAATTTGCCAAACGTCATTATATTTTTCAGAAAACATGCATTTATCTCAAGAACTATGATAGCTAGATAAATGCATGGAAAAGCAATCGGTAGCTCTTGAACTCTTCTTTCGATAAGGTCATCATCAAAATTGACCTCAGGTCAACGGTTTAGCCTCCAGAGGGCAAAAACTCGAAAAATAGCTGTTTCTACGAAAAGTGTTTTTTGTTTTGACAATAACTTTTGACTAAAAAAAGCCACGACCATAGACCTCTGTATACCTGGACTGGACACAGAAAATCTGGCCATGACCACAATGGCCCTAAAAGTAAACGCTTATAACTTGAGTGTCAGGTTACATACGACGTCCATTTTTTCACCGCCGCATAGCCCCATTCATTGAAAATGATGAGGACCATCCGCCGAACCGATGCGGTGTGACGGGGGAGGCCCTGCACGTGGCGCGTGAGAGATGTTTATGAAAATGGCAAGACGGTATCTCGGGAACGGCTGGGCCGAATGAGTCCAGATTCGGAACACAGCTAGGTATAACAAATTGGTCAATAACGTAGGGCCCAATTTTGAGGTACCAATGCACGTGCGCACGTGAGCACCCCTTTTCTGTATCTTAGAAACTACTCGTCCGATTTTGCTGAAATTTGATATATAGCCAGACACTCAGCAACCAATACTGGTGTACACCTCAAATATGAGGTGCAGCTGCACGTGCGCACGTGCACACCCATTTTCTGTATCTCAGAAACTACTCGTCCGATTTTGCTGAAATTTGATATTAGCCAGACACTCAGCAACCAATACTGGTGCACACCTCAAATATGAGGTGCAGCTGCACGTGCGCACGTGCACACCTCTTTTCTATATCTTGGAAACTAGCGGTTCGATTTTGCTGAAATTAACTATGCAGCAAGATACTAAGCAATATTGCTGGTGCATATCTCAAATATGATGCACAGCAGCATGTGTGCACGTGCATACCCCTCTTTTGTAGGTCAGAAGCTAGCTTTCCTATTTGGATACCTGTTGCAATAAGACGGTCTATGCGAAAAAAGAAACATCGGCGGCGCTTGGTGTTCGCTGTGTAAAAAGCGGTGCAATTTACGTTGCAGGTACAATTAATTATCCTAGGTCCTAGGTCAACGGTTGACCTTCCAGGTCAGGTCAATGACCCAAAAGTCGGGAAAATTGGGACCTGTTAGAAAGTCGTAAAGCGTGGCTGCTGTGGGGTTTTTCGGGGTGCTGATCACGAATATCATGTTAGTTTTGATCACAGATGATGTCTTCATGCATTTAGGCCAGGTCGGGTCAGCTCAGGTCAGGTCAACCAGTAAGGGTATTCGTAGTAGGTGGCAATCGCCTCTGACAGCTTCGTAACATGTTACGAAGGTGCCAAAACTACTTCGTAAATGTTCATATGGTTGCTAAATTCGAATTCAGCTCCAAAAACTGGCCTAGAAACATGCAAAACTCGAAAAAGTGAACCGAGTTCATCAAAGGTCAATGACCTGACCTGACCTTCCGGTGACCTTGACACCCACCCTAATGCATGGAAGCAACATCATATCCCATGTTTGAACGCTTAAAACCACGAAAAGACTGCAAACGCGCGGCTAATGCGAGCCGACATACGCCGAATCGCGATTCTGGCCAAACATGGTCTCGAAAAGTAGGTCACAGGCCAAAGGTCATTAGGGTCAGGGTCATGAAAATTTCAGGGTAGGTGTAAAATTGATAAACGCGAGGGTACTAAAAGTTTCGTCGCGATCGGCCGCTTTTTACGCGAGTTGTTCGCGAAAAACCGAGGGGGAGTCCGTTCGACCCCCCCCCCACCCCTATACGGGCGAGGGTTACGTTTTCAAACTAGGGTTACAGATCAAAAGTACCTACCTAATCATTTAAGACAACAGGTGTCATTTAATAGGGCATCACCTAAACTAACGGAAAATACAGTTCATTTGCTAAAGTTAGTCGTTTCCCGATCTGCTTTTTTGTTATTACAGGAATTTATTTTTGCTATTTCTGAGGTGAGTTCTGTTGTTTATTGTATACATTGACCAACTGATTGACAATTTCTCAATCTGTGTGCATCATCCTACATGTAGATTGGCTTCCCGGAGGCCTGAATCCTGATATGTCCTCGCCTGGTCAGTGAATTACTCGGGCTGGTCATAGTATGCTGGTATTCTTATGACTTAATTTAAAAATTGTTAACTGTCAATCTGAACTTATTTTTCCTTTTCACATCTTTTCTAGTTATCATGGCACCAACACAGAAAGAGCAGATAGAAAAACTAGCTGCTGAAAATTCTGAACTTAAAGGTCAAGTTGCGGCTCTCACTGAAAGGTTAGTCAAACTTGAGGGATGCTTTGAGGCACTGTCTCTAAATCAGACTGAGACAGTCACGAGGCTGGAGGGTGTCGAGGACAACCTCTGTCAAGTGACTGCAGAGCAGCTTGAACTCCAGAGAGACCAGGCGGACCTAGCCGTCAGACTTGAGGGACAACAAATGTACTCAAGGAAGCAAACGCTGCTGATTACTGGCCAAGCAGTGGATCTGCCAACCAGAGGTGAAAACGTCCGTCAATACGTGATCACCCTGCTCAAAGAGCACCTGGGGATCAGTAACATCGAGCAGAGAGATATCTGTGCCTGCCATAGGCTACGCAATCCAAAGGTGATCCTGGTTCGTTTTGCATCCCTGGATGATGCAGACAGGGTATACAGAGCAAGAACAAAACCAAAAAAGAGAGGGCTCCTGGTGTTTGAATCCCTGACGTCCGAAAGGCTGGCTACTATAGCAGTCCTCCGTGACCTCAAGCAGGCTGGAGACAATCCTGTCTTGTCGTACTTCACACAGGGTGGCAAGATGTTTGTCAAAATATCAGAAAACAAGGATGTTCGTCCGACTGAGATTCCCTTCGGGGCATCCAAGGACCAAATCAAGGATATTTGCAATGGCAAAAAGGTATCCATCTCTCATGTAGACATCCGTGACCACATTCGTCAGGTACACGGAACATCCAACAAGTCGGGTGCTGATGGAAAGCCTGAGGGCAGGTCCGGGGGTCCTTCTGGTAGCAACACTAACTGGCAGAGAGTGACTCACAAGAAGAAGACGGGTGCGGGCGGCTCTGCTGCTGGGGCGCAGGCAGCTGCCACAGTCAGTTCGGAGATTCCCAGCAGTGGCTAGTTCGGCTTTGCTGAACACTGTGTAGTGAGACTGAGCAATAATAACCATCTCGTGAACACTTGTGCTAATTACTTGCTGAACATGTTTTCTTTTCAAGAAAAATTGTTTGCTGGTATGCTTTGACTAGCCCAAACCAGCTTTGGTCTCTTGTTTCTGTATTTTTGTTTTCTTGTTCTTTCTTTTTTCATTCTCTTGTTTGTTCTCTCATCATTGCTGCAGATAATGGTCAGGTAAATTACTCGACTATTACTGAAGATGGAACTCTGAGACTGGTTCTAGATGAATCACCTATTATTGGATATGATAATTTTGCTATTCCTAACCTTGCTGATGTTGTTCAAAACTGTAAACTTTACCCACCTTCCGAATCAGGGAAGTTTTTTGGCTGTGACTTGTCCGTACTTCACATTAATGCTAGATCAATCCATCAAAGTCATCATGAGGTGGTGACCCTAGTGACCACCAACAATCATGCTGCAAACTTCGTGCTATTGTCGGAAACGTGGCTTCATCCTGACTTGATAAGCGGGTATGCAATCCCTGGGTACGAACTGCTTCATTCAATACCAGAGCATAATGTACTAGGCAAAGGATGTGCTATTTATATCAGGGATGATATATTTCCTCATTGTTCGAAACTTGACCATCTTTGTGCTAATGAAAATGAATTCCAAAGTATTATTGTGCAGGTTACTTGTCCAGGTACTGCGGGGTTTATCATAGGTGCCACATACAGATCTCCATCATACCCTTTGACGTCATTCCTACCATACCTTGAGGCCACACTGAATGATTTAAATAGGCGTCATCAACCTTGTTTTTGGGGCGGTGACTGGAATGTCAACCTTTTTGAATATAACAGTAAAAATGATGTTAAATCTTTCTTGGACTGCCCAAATGCATTTGGATTCTTTCCTACCATATCTATCCCAACTCGTGTAACCACTATCCCTCCATTCACAGAGACTCTTATTGATAATATATTCACTAATTCCTTAAGTACAGTTTTACATAGTGGCACGATCTGTTGTGGCATAGCAGATCACTTAGCGGTATTCTGCACGACTAATTTGCTGCAAAGTGGTCAACGTAATACTGGACCGCCAGGTGTCAAAAAGTTTAACTTTTCTAAACTAGATGAATTTAAGGTGAATATCTCGAATAGACTAGCTGAATTTAATAGGATTGATTGTCCAGAGCAAGCATGTGATGTATTTGTATCAACTCTTACAGATGAAATTGAACATTTTTCCTCATTTCCATCTAGAAGAAACACACCTATCCAGCCCTGGATAACTCCAGCTATCTTGCGAAGTATGGACAATAGGAGTAAATTGTTAAAGAACTTTTTGAGAAACCGCAGTGCGGAAAATGAACTAAAGTACAAAAAATACAGAAACACTCTCAGACTGACCATACGTCATTCTAAGAAGCATTACTTTCACAAGCAGTTTGCTAAAAATAAGCATAATCCAAAGTTACTGTGGAAAGATTTATTGGAGGCTGTTCAGAAACCTAAGGTAAAACCAAGACCCGCTTCAAAATTTGAAGTCAATGGTGCTTTCATTACTGACCAGCGGCCAATAGCCGAGTCTTTCAATGACTTTTTCAGTAAAGTTGCGCCTAATCTTGACTCCGCCCTAGGACCATGTGATACTGACCCACTTGCCCATATGGATGATTTAGCTGTCCCTGTGTCTCTGACCTTTAGTCCTGTCACCGAGGAACAAGTTCTGCCAATTGTACTCAGTCTGAAAGATGCCGGGGCGGGTTTTGATGGTCTTAACGCGAAGTTACTTAAGAAAATTATCCCTGCTGTAATATCACAGCTTACTCATTTGCTTAACCTGTGCATTAACAGCCATACGTTTCCTTCCCCTTTGAAGATGGCCGTGATCACGCCTGTCTTCAAAAGTGGTTCACGTACTCAATTTAGCAACTATAGACCCATCTCCGTTTTGCCAGTCATCTCAAAGGTTTTAGAAATTATAATGTTTAATCAACTTGTTGCATTCATTAAGGATCATAATATTCTGTATGATTTTCAGTTTGGATTTAGGTCTAACCACTCTACTTATATGCCCATTTCGATCTTACATGACCTTATTACAGATAATTTGATTTCAAATAAAATTACTGTGGGCATTTATTTGGATCTAGCTCGTGCATTTGATACTGTCAATACTGACATATTACTTAGTAAACTAAATATTTATGGCATATCTGGCAATGCCCTTAGTTTCTTGACCTCTTACTTAACTGATAGAACTCATCGAGTAAAATTTGATAATACCATATCTAGTCCCAAAAAGGTCACTTGTGGAGTCCCTCAGGGCTCTGTGCTAGGGCCAATTCTCTTTTTGCTTTATATTAATGATCTCCAAAAAGTCTGCCCCATTGCTAAGTTTTTGCTTTTTGCAGATGATACTGCAATTTTTTACTCGGCGTCTTCTAAAGATGAATTAGAAAGTATAATAAATCAATCGTTTCCAAAAATAGTCGTATGGTTGCATGCAAATAGGCTCTCCTTGTCTATTCATAAAACTACTTATCAAGTGTATTCAGGTAACAATGCTGATAAAAATATTTGCATCCCGGTATCTAATGGTACTATTTTGCATGCTGATACAGTTAAATATTTAGGCGTTTTGATAGACGAGAACCTCAAATTTAAGTCTCATATCAGCAAGGTTTCTGGTGTAATTAGTAGGCAGATTGGCATCATGGGCAGAGCTAGATATCTCCTCAACGCACAGTTATTAATGTTACTGTACAATTCCATGATCTTGCCATATCTCACTTACTGTGTGAGTATCTGGGGTTCCAATTATCCTACGACTATCCAACCGATCATTGTTGCCCAGAAGCGGGCAGCCCGCATGATTGCTGGCGCACCCGCTATGGCACACACCTCTCCTATATTCCGAGAACTGAGGATTCTTAAATTCAGTGACCTTGTAAAATACCAACTCCTAAATGTGCTTCACGACTTTCTACATGATAGGCTCCCCGAGCCCATTGCTGCCAAATTCACCCTTAGTAACCCGGTGCGTGTCACCAGAATTTCTCAGCATTTTAGTGAGCAAGCCCGATCCTCATCAGGTCGTGCGATTCCTAATTACAAGCTTCACAACTACCGTGAGTTCACCCTATTCGCTAGAGCCCCAAAGGTGTGGAATGCTGTAATAGCAAGCCGAATACCTGATATCCAGGACGTTCCATTTAGTAAATCATTTTTCAAAAAAGTTGTCAAAATTATTTTCCTCGACCAGTATTAATGTCTCATTAACTCATCCAAAAATCCACCATGCTCATTGCTATTAATCTTTTAACTTTCTGTTGGTGCTGGAGGGCGGGCCTCAGGAATCTCGTAGCCCTATACCCTGCCCTCCAGACACCAGAATGGCATAGTTTTATTCTGAACATTGCCTTGTTTAATTAAACGCTGTCTCATTTTCTTTCAACAAGTTTGTTTCTCTATGTTTATGTAGTTCAGTCTCGTTGTGAATTTGCACTTTGTCTCGTCACGTACTTCTTAAGTGGCCAATCGGTCTCGCTGCCCACCAATGCCCCCCTCGCGGCCCCCCCTCCGCCCATCGTACGGACCTAGTTAACCCTGCTCATTATCCGCAGCATATGCCGGCGCCACAGCTCTGACGTAGTCGCATCAACCGGGACCTGGCTTCTACTTGCACCAGAGCGTGCGCACAGCTCGAGCGCTGCGTGATGCCGCCTGGATTTCTGGCTGTGTCCTGTTCCACTGGAGGCATGGGCGCCGTACCTGAGGCAGGCGGTCCCGCTGGACTCGACCGCTGAGGATCTATCACTGGAGTGGATCGACGGTGTGATGGACGATCGGCGGGGCTGGACGTTGGCGCCTCCTGTCTGAACACCTCAGCGGCGCCGCTAATCAACCATGACAACAGCACCAAGATCTGGGTCATGCTTGCGCTGGAGCAGGTGCACGGCTCCTGCATCGAGAGGCGGACTGTGCACCTCATTCGCTGTCGATCGAACACCTCTAGCCGCGCTCCGCTGGGCGCGTGTGCTGTGGTCTCGGGGCGGACGGTCGCGTTGGTGGCTTGACGCTGGATGTCCCTGCGGCGGGGGGGGGGGGGGCGGCGGCGGTTGGGGGGTCGACTCAGCTGGCGCCCTCTGGCTGGACCCTGTATCACGCGTCTAAATCTGACAAGATCCGCTCCTACTGGCACCAGAGTGCACAAGGAGCTCAAACGCCGCGGACATGCGATGAGGACGTACGCGCCGTGCTCTCGGATGCGACTGATGAGGATGGTGATGAGGATGGAGGATCACTGATTGAATGGATGCGGACGATGCTGCTGGTGACTAGGACATCGGACCCGCCGTGTTCGGGTCATCGCTGCATCGGTGGTCATGTGATGAGCGGCGGGTGTGTGCTCGCTAGCGGCGATTGTGTAACAGTGAACGGCGAGGTTATGCCGGCGGGCGGCGTGTGCCGGTGGGTGGCATGTGCCGATGGTCGGCGAGTGGCGTGTGCCGGTGGGTGGCATGTGCCAGTGGACGGCGAGTGGCGTGTACCGATGGACGGCGAGTGGCAGATGTGCAACAGGTGCGTAACGGCAGCCTGCGGGTGAGAACTGGAGATGCTGCTTCGCCATCGGTGAGCCCGTGAAGCGGCGCTGCTCGCCGCCGGTCTGCCTCATCGCCGCTGCGTGTAGACGGCGACACCGGGCGCTGCTGCGGCCGAGGACGGTGTAATGTGAGGTCGTCAGCCCCGGACCTCAGCCGAGGGCTGACACATGTACTGCGAGACCGTGTCGTGGTGGTTGATGGTATGACGCGGTTTGTTGTTTGTTGGAACGCCAGCGGCGTGATCTGACGCGGGAGATTGATTTGTCGTCTTATATGTGCACTCGTTTACTTGTGTGGCGCTACCGAGACCCCTCCCTAACATTAACAACTAACAACGCTTAAACACACTAACATAACTAACTGTCGTTCATCCTACCATCCTAAAGTTCCCAGCCTGTCGGCAGCGCCATCTATTTTTATGCGTACGAATCTGATTTACTTCTGTTTGTCTATGCCATTTATTTATTAATTTATTTATTTTGTTATTCATCAGGAATACACCGCCGGTGGGAAACCGGACAGAGAGAAAAAAAATTGCTTTGGCACAGCAACTGAAGTAGATATTTACTGCAAATGAAGGTGAGCCTATTTATATACACTGTGGTGAGCCGAATAATTCTGCTTACTCTATATTGCTTATCAATGCAAGTATTTTGGAAATACTGCGTCAGGTATTTCGTTGTTTGTTATGATTTTATTGAATTTTACTGTGTACCTATAGATTCGAAAAAATGAAATCGTGTTTCCCGCAATGAAAGAGGGCAATTAGAAATTTAACTCCCACGTTACTTAGGACGTCGTATTTATACAAAACAGTAAAATCACGTGAGTTTCAGTAAAACAACAAAATTTAGCTGAAATAGACACAAATGTGGTTGTGTTTATTTTGAGAAAATGGTAATGCCTATACCTATAGGTAAAATGTAGTAGGTATAGGGACTTTAAACATTTTTGAAATTGAGTGAATATGTATTTTGTATCATTTATCGTGCATTTTCTTGTTGATTTACCTTTTTAAGTGCAGGATGGTTAAGTGTGCCGCTCCTTTATGTCGTTCAGGCTACGCGCTTACAAAGGCAGAGAAGGCAAACAAGCTAGTTCAGCGTACTATTTCTTTGTTTACCTTTCCGAATGACAAAGAGTTACGCGCTCGCTGGGTGCAGGCGATAGGACGTAATGACTCAGCTTGGAACCCAGATCACTGTGGTGTCTGTGAGCTCCATTTCCGTGAGGAAGACTTTCATCAAACAACCAGAAGAAAGAACGAACGTAAAAGAAAATCCTTGAAGAGCGGCGCCGTTCCGTCAGTCTTCGAATCACACGCATGGTGAGTAGGAGCCTTTAGGTACTCATAGCGTTTGTTTTAGAACATGTGCCGTGTGATATAATGATATAAAACATGTTTCTCACGACCTTTACATGTCACACATGCATCCCTTGGCGCCTCGCTCAGGCGCGTCGAATGATATACCTTGTTGTTTGGGTGAGGTCAACTTAGGGTGTTGACCTCGGAGGACGGGTAAACGGATGCGATGTTGACCTCGAATCGCATATCATGCGATTCGGCAGGTCTTCCTGAGTCCATTGGTGGCTTTCCCGACTCGCTAGCTTAATTTGATCGGGAGTTATTAACGAAAAACTGATATGACCCTAATGACGTCATAAATGACGTCATGCGACGTCGCGCGAGGTCCACATTGCAAAACTGACGCATCGAACCTTGCAAGCAGTGCATGAAATCACGATTCTGTGTGCTTGGGATAGTTGCAGATCGTTCCCGGCGCCAGAATAGCAGTTTTCATTTTTCCCCATTGATAATGTTGAGGTCAGTGGTCACGAAAATGACCTGACTTCAAATGACCTTTCATGTGACGTTCGATAGAGCGTCAAAAATAACAAAATTAATAAATAAATCGGTCAAGGCCAAGGTCAAGCCTCAGGTCAAGGTCATGACCTGACAGGAGTGGTTAACGGAAAGGTCACTTTTTACCTTAACGTGAGGTTAAGGTAAAAAGTGAGGTTAACATTTTTCACGTACTGTTGCCTTTATCAATTGCTGAAAATGTCAGCAATTAATTTTCAAACAGTTTTCAAACGGTGTTCAAACACCGTTGGCCTGAGGTTAATTATAGGTATTTTGAAATGGTGTCAAAATTTCATTACGGAATGCAATCTTATATGCTATGAGCTAGAGATAAAGTGAATTAAGTTACACCGAGTGGATGAGAAAACTGGTTTCTTCATTTCTGACTTATTTTCTCTTCATTTCTTTCAGTCCTGTCCCGCTCAACGATGCCCAGCGGCAGCGTACGACAGTGCTGGCAACAGCATCATCGAGACGCCAAGTTGCCGAGGAGCAGCTGCAACAACAGTGCGTCGACATGATGGAGGCGGAGAAGTTCTCCACTCTGAAGGAAATGTATGCCAAGCTTGAGAACGAAAAGCTTCCTTCAGGGTATACGGCAGTGAAGATGTCACACTCAGACGGAGTCGAGTTTGTACTGAGCGTCCGATTAGAGCAGCTTGATGAGAAGTCAGGGCACCCAGTCATCACCAGAACCCTAACGGTATATGAAGATCTTCACTTTCGGACGCACGTAACAGGAGTTGAAATTCCTGTCCACCAATTTGCTGGATTAACTGCGAGAGCTGGACTATTCCAAAGCACCACAGAGGTCCTGAACGTGCTTGCTCGCCTGAAGTCGTTCACCATCAGTGCTAAGGACTTGATGGCCTCTGCTGCCAGCGTTGTGGATCTAGCAGCGGAAGCCGACAGTGGTGATGAGTTCACCATCTGTCAGTTCGTCGCGGAGCAGCTGCGCTTGGCTTCGGTCCCAGCGAACAGACGGCGATATAGTCAAGCGCTGATGAGTTTGGCTGTGGTGTGGGACAGAACCAGCCCGAAGTTATACGAAGAGCTGTGTAGCTGCTCTGTTCTGTTCCTGCCGCACAAGAAAACCCTCCGACGCCTCACATCCGCGCTCAGCGTGAGAGAGGGTTTGGAGATCGGCACAGTTAAGTATCTCCAAATGAGGATCGAAAAACTGACCAAGAGAGAGAGAGACTAGTCAATCTGGCAATGGATGAAGTGTACACCGCACGAACAGTTGAAGTGGCTGGAGGGCGCGTCTTTGGCGAGAGCGGAGACGGTGTCGCCAGTACTATCTTCTGTACCCTCATCTCCTCTGTGGCTGGCACCTACGAGGACACCATCTCAATGTCACCGGTATGCAGCATCACCACTGAAGACATTCGCGCCATATTCTTCACGGTGCTGAAGACCCTGACGGAAGTAGGGTTTACGGTCGTATCATGCACCACCGACGGACACCGGACAAACCAAGCTTTCCACAACTCGCTCGGTGAAGACGGGCGTCATCCGGAGTTCATCGTGAATCCCTTCAACTCTCAAACAAGAGTTTACACGATGTACGACAGCGTGCACCTCTACAAGAACTTCTTTTTCAACCTAATGAACAAGAAGACTCTCGTCTGTACACTTCCAGGCCTCGAGACGACCGTGCAGGCCCAGTTCAAGCACCTGCAACAGCTGCACAAGCTGGAGATGGGAGAAGAGGTCAAAATGGCCTACAAACTGACAGACAGGGTGCTTAACCCCACGAGCATCGAGCGTGTCAACGTTCAGCTGGCTGTGGCAGCCACCCACGAGTCAACTGTGGCAGCACTGAGGTACTACAGCCAGAAGGACGCGTACCGCGACTTTGGACAGACGGCCGACTTCCTCGAGATGCTGAGGAGGTGGTTCAGTGTTGTGAATGTCAAGACGGCATTCACGCACGTGCGCCTGCGAGACCCTCTCAGGGCCCCACCCAGGAATGAGGAAAGCTGCATGGGTCTGGACTTCCTCACTGCCTTTGCAGCTATGCTTCGAGTCTGGCAGGGCAGGAAAGGAGGTGGAAAGATGTCGATCGACACATCGCAGGCCGCCATCTACACCTGCAGAGGTCTAGTCGGTGTGGCTAGGTACCTGCTGGAAGAGCACGGTGACATGATCGATTATGTCCTTCTAGGAAAAATACAGTCGGACAGAATCGAAGGCCGCTTCGGCTACCTAAGGAAGTTGGCTGGCGGAAACTTCTGGGCGAGCGTCAGACAGTTCTTCAAAGGAGAAGCAGTCATCCGGGTCAAAAGTCTTGTTTGGCTATCGGGCTACAGTCTCGGTACAGTGGCTGCTGTCATGGCAGAGGCGCGTCAACAGCGACAGCAGGACGACGCCGAGGTGGCTGAGACCCTGGTGGAGTACGCTGCCAGCGCGTAGCACGAGCCTCTATCCGAGGGAGCAGAACAGGCCATCACACACGTGGCTGGCTACCTTGCCCGCTCAGCGCTGAAGAGGAGGCAGTGTCATGCATGCCACGCTCTCTTGGTCAACAAGGAGCTGAACCAGGTTCAAGAAGTGCGAGTCGATGCGGAGGACAGCCAACCAGAAACAGCATCCGAACTAACAGAAGCCGTGAAGTCATTTACTGCTCTTCTGAACCGGGGAGGCCTGCTCTGCCCTTCAGAGCTCACCGTGGACTTGTCGATGAACATCTGCCACGCTTATAGGTAATCACCATCACCCAGTTCGTTTACATACCTAATTTGTTTGAATAAGTTCAACCTTTTGGTCACTTTCGTGTCAAATATTAGGGACTTTGTGTACTGGTTTGGCAGAAAGAACCCGTGTATTAGCTAGTTTCAGAACAAGTCTGTTGATTGGAGACAGCGCTTTGGTACGAAATTGTTATCTCAATTGAACTTGCAGTATTTGTAGCATTTAGTATAAACCTGCATTATGATTGCATTTCAGTGTTCATCGGATACGCTTCAATTTTGCTGTGCAAAGGCAAAAACGATTACGTCAGGTCAGAGGTCATTACGTCAGGTCAGAGGTCACCCGAACGTATATGGTTTTTGCCTTTGCACGGCAGAGTTATGAAAATCAATAATCATATGCATACGAGGTGTGGCTAGAAAGAAACCGGACTGCTCGTGCTGACCATAAAGTAGGGGGCCCGAAAACTAGCGAGACACTGGACATTAATTTTTATCATATTGTCGTGATGTGTGCCATACGGCACCTCGATATCGCTATTATTCTCCTTTCCACAGCTCTTTGTTTTATTGATGACGCTGACGCTGGTCACTCCGGTCTGGATGTCCTCGACTGATTGAAAATGGGTTTCCTTGACGACGTTTTTCATTTCAGGGAACAGCCAAAAGTCACAGGGAGGGAGGTTTGGCAAATAAGGGGGTGCTTGAGCACCGCGACCTGCTTTTCGGCAACGAACTGCTGGACGCTAATGGCAGATTGCGCGGGAGCGTTGTCGTGATGGAGCACCCAGTTCTTGGCTTCCCAGAAACTCCACTTGGTGCGCCTGACTCGTGAAATGAGGCGTCCCAGGTCTTCCTTGTAGAAGTGGCTGGTCGACTGTGTTACACCTCCAGCACGAACTGGCGGTGAACG